CTAAATAGATACCAAACATGTCAAGTCTTAAAATTGCATTCGCCTGTGAAACCCCCCAAACAACTACAATACTCCGATAAGCGACACTTTAAAAGCTTTTACTGCTCATCTGTTTAGTGTTTGATCCTAGAATTATTGCTCTCACTCTGACGTTCGCAACGATATGCAACATGTATGGCGCAATTTTTGTTTTTGCATGCTAGTGCACCAGATGCGTGTTTGCTTTGTATGTGTGTGCACATGGGGGGCGGGGGACTTTAAACATTTTCTTTTTTATATGTTACTTTTTTACACTCAACTCTATTGCGATCACTTACGGGACTAACAAGCCCCCTATGTAATAGCAAATATAATGTGACCGGTCCTCTTCATGGAGAAACCAGGGGTCTTTCAGCCCCCTGGCACCTAGGGGCCCCAAAGAAGCTGATGAAGCAAAGATCTGCTTCACCAGCTTCTTCTCCTGGCTCTAATAGCCGGAGAATGTCCAGTGACCCCCTTGTGTGCCCGGGACCAGTACAGCGTGTCTCTCCTGACAGATCGGGGGGAGAGCAGCAAGCGTCCAGCCATTGATCTTTGCACCCAGAAGTGATGTGTATTACATCACTTCTGGGTCCAGTGATCGGAGGAGAGTTCAGCGGCTGGACGCTTGCTGATCTCCCTCTGATCTGTGAAGGGAGACGAGCTGTGCCGGTCGCGGGCCCACACAGGGGACAGCTGGGCCCCGGGAAGCCAGCAGTGGAGGGGGGAAACAGATTCTGCCGCACCGTACAAGCGATACAGCAGCTGCATAGATGCCGAATCAGTTCTATCTGAACAGCAATCGCCTGCTGTTTGAAACAGTACCAAGAACATGGCTGCTGCTGCAGCAGCCGTGTTCTTGGTATAACTACTTCAGGACATGACGTTTTCTGACGGTTGCTGGTCCTGCAGTAGTTAAGTAAAGCATTCAAACTTTTTGGGGTTTTCATTGTTGCCTGTATGCCCACTTGGTTAGGTCACCTACACTTTAATCAATAGTGACCTTTCAGAGCCTACTCCGTACTAACTGATGTAGGAATTAGTCTGGCCGGACTTCAGAACAATTTGGACTATCACCGCACCCCCCTCCCATTTACTGTCTACACAATGCGCCTTTTTTTTATTGTGTAGATTGGTATGTTTTTATATGTGTATTCATTTATACTGAGCTTTTGTGAACATTGTAGAACTTCCTCCCTCCTTCTGATGAAGCTATGTAAGCGAAACGCATCAAGGACTCTGATCGCTTTTGTACTTACCTGTGTGGTATTTGTAAATACATTACACAGTAAATATAATGTAGTTTTCTCAAATTTGACTGCAAATATGGAAATACACTTTAAAAGTCTCACAATAGGGAGATTTTCTTTATTCTGTCCCCCCCTGCTGCAACATGGGGGACATTTTGTCCCGTTTTGCTAGGTGCAGTGGATCCAACAGACAATGGTGCTGGGAAAATGCAGCAATTGCAATAAATATGTTTGCAGCACAGTATTGCAATAGAAAATCTCCACTGGGATGAAAACAAAACAAAAATCTGCATTCAGGAGGTGGCAGTATCACCTTATGAAGCCGGGCAGATGCTGCTTCACTGCCCTGTGAAAAGTGATCCACCGTGGATCAATTTTCAGCAGATGGTACAAATTGCAGTCAGTATGAAAGAGGGTTTATCCTGCATTATTGTTTTAAGTCAGTAAATCACTTGAGGGTAAAGGCATGATCAGCCTTGGATCTTGCATGTCTAAAAAAAGCGGGGAAGAGCAGCATTATAATTTCCATCTTTACTGTGTTTTTTTTTTGGCCTGTCATAAATTGCACGTCAACAGGTCCACATTAAATCCAACTGGATGCTTTTCGTTCTCTGAAACATGCACGTGTTACTTCTGCAAATAATACTGAAACAATTAACACACACCACACAAGTAAATAAACATTTAATATTACTTCAGAGCGCTCAAAAACACTTATTAAAACAGTACAGAGACAGGCCATGAGGCTGAAGTCAGTTAAACTAAAATAATTAAAAACACACACATTAAAAAGAATAAAATTAATAGATTTGGGGAAATACTAAACACTCAAATGATTATTAAAAAAACAGTAAAAAAAAAAAATAGTTAAAAAAGTAAAGTAGCTATGAAAGTAAAACCGAAGAAGGTTAAAATAAGCAAAGTACAATAAAAGTAATATTTTCCAACAGCTGCCTACCCAATAAAAAGGAGTCTGAACGGGAGTAGCTAATGGATCACCCTCATTCTGCCTGACACTGTGCTGGGCTTCATGTTAAACATTTATTGTAAATGAACATGTCCTTTACACCCATGGTTCTCAACTGATGGGTCGCGACCCAAAAGCGGGTCCTATCTCTGTGTTCAGTGGATTGCCGTGCACTTTCCACTGTGCCAGGTGGGAGGCTCCTCAGCCACCTGCTAGCGCAGCACTGTCAGTTCTCACGCCTAGCAGCCATGCAAAATATGCTGCCCGATGGGGTGGGCTGGGGGTATGGCCACGAGGGAGCTCCATCCATTTGTGCATTGCTTACAGCTCCCTTGCGTGCCCTATAGAGGTGACTGGACCAGAGTGACGTCACACTCTGGCTCCCACCACTTCTACAGGGCGTGCAAGGGAGCTGTACAAGCAATGCAGATATGGATGGAGCTCTGTCACAGCACCCCAGGCTGAGGATCCACTCAAGTTAGAGAGACTGGAGAGAGGTAGAGAGACTGTGTGGGTCCTAAATACAAATAGATTTTTTTTTGGAGTGTGTGAGAATGTCTGTAAGTGTGCCAGATTGTGTCTGTGTCTGTCATTGTTTTTGAGGGCCCGTTCACACTAGTACAGTGCATTAATTACACAGTCTTGGGTGATTAACGCACTGTACCATACAATCACACCTACCATGTGTTCTGGTGCGGGATGTGCATTGCCATTCATTTAAATGGCCCACAGTTCGATTTTAGGCATCAGAACATGCAGTACCACAATGCAGTCCATTCCAGTGTGGTGCAACTTAAAGACCAAGTACAAATGTGGGTCCTGCATTTATGCATTTTTTTGGATATCACTATTAAAGGCTAAGCAAACTTAGTGCTTTAATCTTTTTTTTACAGTCCCCTACTCCAGTATTTTAGTAATATAACACTTGCTCAAAATGCAGCTCCCTGGTCATCTTCATAATTTATATTGTAAAGCACTGAGCAAACTGTTGCAGTTATATAAATCCTGAATAATAATAACAATAATCTTTGCTGTGTGGCTAGCCTGGTACTACACAGCATATCTGTAAAACATTTCCCTGGCATAGGTGAAGCCTGAACTCTGTTCACATCATTGAGGCAAAAAGGTGTTGGTAGGTTGCCTCACTGAATTCAATAGGGTTCAGAATGCACATGAACCAAGGATAAAGGTGCAAGAGTGGAAAGATTTTAAAAAGTTGTGGTGCAGCACAAGGTGGGCCACAAAGAAAAGATGGCCAGAAAGAAGATGAATTTTAGATGTGCATGTTCTACTACTGAAATTTTGGGAGAAAAGAGGAGACCCTAAGAAAGATAAAGTGTTTTATATAGGCTTATCCTTCAAGTACAGTTTTAGACCTTTATAAGTTAATGTGAAGACTGCATCAGTCTCTTTTAAAGAGACCCTCTTAGGTTACAGCAACAGCTTACTCCACTGTCACCATTACTGCTCAAAACAGAAAAGTGATACTTTATACTTAAACAATATCAATGCAAATTAGAAATACAGCATTTATGAATTATATTTTAAAAATATCAGTTTGTTAAAGAAAATCTTGCAAAGCATTCCTTAAAGTAAAATGGTACCGTATAAAATTACAGAGAGAAATGTAGAGATAGAAGCGGAGAAGTAAAATTATTAAAAGGCATGCTAGAAACCTTCAAATGGTGTGGGTCGCATTTATAACCAAAGAGAAACATGTGCAAGCTGCCCATATTATGGGACCAATAAACCCCAATGGACGACATAAAAGAGCTGTTAAATCATTCAAAACGAAGTATTTCTGAAATAGCTTGCATTAAGGTCACATCAAAATAACACCATCTGTAAATTTCATAGAAAAATGTTTTGGCTATAGAGCCCATGCAGTGTTTGTGTGGAAGCATATTCTGAAGATATTATATTGAGAAGCCTCACACAACAACAGACATTATTCCTTTTCACTCATCGCTTTCAAGGTCTCCTGTCATTTGGAAAGAAAATACCAGAACAGGTAGGACTGGGGAGGAGGACAACTGCTAAAATCACACCGTGGACAAACCAACTGTCGTCATTTAATTTAATGCAATGCCTACTTTAGAAGATATTGTTCTTGTTGAATTCCTTTTAATATTTCAGTTCTGAACAATTGCAGGCAACATCACTTGGCCACCAGCAGCTTGAGATTATACTAATGACTCAAGAGCACACTGTTGTTGAACGCCAAAAATAAATAAATATACCAAGAAATGTATGAGAGGTTTAACATTAATATACAGGAAAATTATTAGCAGTTCTGTATTGTGGAACATGTAGTTTTATATGTATTAGCCTTAAAAAAGGCAGTTTGCACTTTTTTTCTCTTTTCATAATAAAAGACAAATGTATTATGTTTGCAGCAATGAGCAAATTGTAAACTTACTTTTATAGCGGACAAATTATGCTTCGGTAGATAGTAATGGCTCATCACAAAGGCCAAAAAGACAGGGGTACCACCATTACATGGGCCACTAAATAATTAAGGCCATCGAATATAGGAACCATTATTTCATTTTTTTTAAATTTATAATTACTTGCATACATGTTCCTATTATATAGATATGCATGATATATGTATAAAATTTGTTCATACAATGTATACATATATAGTGTATGCAAATACTTTGACTGGTGTGGCATTACGAACTAACTAAATTGTGCATTTTTTATTGAAAACTATGTAAAGGAGGTAAGGTGAAACACCTGTTTAGTTTATTTGGAGTCTTTTGTACAATCGGCAAGTATGGAACATCCATGTGTTAACATACCAGTCGCCAGCGACCCAAAGTTAGAGGCAAACAATAGATATTACACAGCAACAGTTTCAATGTTAAAAAAAGGAAGCAGTTTGAAAGCAGCTTACAAAGTAGGTAATTTAGAAGCCAAGCACAGGTTAAAGATGTACAAATGCTGGTCTTCAAAAACATGTTATTGGCAAGAACAAGAAGCATTATTATGGTCCATTAAGGGTCTAACAAAAAACATGTACTAGAGCCCTTTATGCCTTTTCTAAAGATCTGTAATAGTCTTTAAGCACATCCCAGGCTGTTGGTGCCATAAAACCATCTGGTGGATTTTGTCCCTCACGAGCCAGTTTACGCATCCGAGTTCCTGAAATAAAGTCATAGTCCTCAGCACTGGAAAAGGCAAAAAAAAAAAAAAAAATTAGTAGAGAAACGTTTCAAACAAGGTAAGCCTTCATGTACATAATGAAAAATGACCTGTATAAATCACGTGTCCTTTTTAAGAACCACCCTATGATAGAAACTAGAGGTGCACCAAAAAAGGAAATTTCAAAACCGAAACAAAAAAAATTGTCAGGCCAAAACCGAAAATGTTTTTTATTTTTTCAAATATTTTATTTTTATTTTTTAATATTTAATTCATTTAAAAAATATATTTTTTAACTTTACTTTTAGGGGCTTCAGGGGAAATATTAGGGGTCTAAAAAGACCCGATATTTCCCTTTTAAAATAGAAAAAGAGATTGGGGACACAAAGTCCTCAATCTCTTTTTCTGTATCCCCTGTTATACATGAACAGGAATCCTCTATGAGTGTTCCTGTTCATTCATAACTTGAGAACATTGTGTGTTCACTATAACCACAATTATGAATGAATAGGAGGTGATGTAGATCACTTCTCATTCATAAGTGAGGATATAGTAGACATACCATGTCCTCAATTATCTACAAACACTCAGCGATCACTAAGTGTTTTTACTCACTCTCCTCACACACGCGGTCACAGGAGGCTGAGCGAGCAGTGTAGGGAGCAGAGCTCAGCCTCCTGTGACAGCACTATCTCCGCCCCCACACCGCTCTGCCGGACTGTGATAGGAGGCTGAGTGGTGTGGGAGGAGAGACGCCGGCGGCTCACTGCGCTCTCCTCCCCCAGCGCTCGGCCGGCTGTCACAGTTTCTCTCCTCCTCGCTGGGACACAGAGCAGCGCCCAGCAGGGAGGAAATAAACCAGGGATGTGCCGATGTATCGGCAGGAAAATAGCACTTTTGGAATTTAGCCAAAAGTGCCATTTTCGGCCGATATATCGGTGCATCCCTAATAGAAACATTATCAGTAAGGTCCAATTCAAGTAACAAAAGCAGACACTGAGTCAGGCAGACAGAGTGTTAACAACTTCCCTTATTAAAGGCTTACATGAGCATTCATGTTATACCTGTTGTATTGGATGTCTAAATTAAGACCATACAATCCAAGGGGCATCAGAGGTAGACCCACTGTCCTCAGTAATGTAACACACCTGTAGCTTTGCCGGCATAGAGCAATGGAATAGGAGGGCAGACTTTAAAATTTGCAATGAGAGAAAGCAAAAATCTGCCACAAATGGAACATGCAGTAATAAAAGACTATAAGGAGATAAAAACGTTCTGAGAATTTAGCTGGGCTTTGAAATGGGAAGGAGTGCCACCTGCTCTTTTTTTCAGGAGATGGTATTGCTTTGCAACAGTTTCTCACACAACCCCACCTTAGCCTGAACAGCCCTGACATGTCAATAAAAGAACTGATAAACATAGCAAGCATTCTATTTTGAAATAAAGTTTGTGCAGCACGAGGAAAAGTGTGCCTCACCCTATAAAGTACAAGTATGCTTACTGTATACAAGCTGTAACAGAGAAGCTATATGGTCTATATGTATGGCTGTGAAAATTATTAAATATCCCTAAAGAGGGACAAAAAACAAAGAAGCTCATTAAATTTGGATAATATGAAATGTCAGCACATTTCATGACACGTATAACATAAAACATATAAATATAAAAAATAGAAGCATAGGTCAAGTCACATATTGCCAACAACTAGCTAGGGAAGATGAAAACAGAACTAAATCTCTGTAATCCTCTGTGGAGCCCGGTAGTTCACACACATAGACATATTAAAAAAGAAGCTAAAGCACCTGTTCAACGTGGGCGCCAAATAAATTCCAGAAACAAGACTATATTATAAGTCAAACAACAATGGGAGAGGAATCCATTCCAAACCTCAGTAATGGTGGTCTGACCGCATGAACTGGAAATAGGCTCTCCCACATGAAAGGGTATTTTGCTGGATGATTGTGCAAAGGCTTTTTTAGATTAAAGAAAATAAGAGCCAGATCAGTTATGTTGTTACCTCATTCCTCTCCATAATATATCTGTCACCACACAACATTTCTGGAATGTCTTCTGCAGCTTCAATTATAGTATATGAGAGAAACATAGGATATCGTGGTTGCATTGTGTATTAGGTTGCTATCCATTTACCTAAATCCTGACAAACATACTTTAATGGAGAAACCAAACGGGAGTCAAGGTAGTTGGGTAACAGGAATAGCACAGGGTGTGGCTCTATGCATTTCTGTTGTGGAACAAAGAAATTAAAATTAAATATTCCCCAACTCTATCAGTGCCAAAACTATATAAATGCTTTTATGAATTCAGGACACTTTACCCAAAACAAAAAAAAGTACTATTAGCAAGGGTAGAAAGCTATTACACCTGTCATCCTTTATGTGATCTATTATTTTGATCTGCGATTAGCAATTTCCTAAAACATTCAAAAAAATGACAGACAAGATTATATATATAGATATATATATATATATATATATCTATATATAGATATATATATATATATATATAATCTATATCTGTATATATAGATATATAGATCTATATAGATATAGATATATATCTATATAGATCTATATATCCACACAGTACAGTCTTTATGACCAAAAATATCAACATAAAATCACAAAAACCATGTGCACAAAAGACATAATTAGGGATAACTGCTTGGGGACCCCAGTGACCACTTTATTAGCTACACCAATCTAGTACTGGCCAGAATCCCATTTGACCTTTAGAACAGCCGGAATGGTTTGTGAGGGTGATTTTCTGGCACAATTCCTTAGAGGGTTTGGTCCATGTTGACTCAATAGCATCATGCAGTTTATGCAGATTAGTCAGTCATTCATTCATGCTGCAATTTTTGCTATTCCACCTTATCAGATGCTGACTCCACGATCCCTACATCACAGTAGTAATCAAAATCAGTCAGACTAGTTTGTCCAGTCTTGTGGGGCTCAATTTAAATGTTCATGCTGTAGCTTCATTTTCCTGTTTGAAGTGGACAGCGGATGCTGCAACACATATGTATCAGTTTGACGTGTTACGCGTTCAGAGATCGCCTTTTCCACACCACTTTTCGGGAGGATATCTGAGCAATTGTGCACTTCCTGTAAGCATAAGGGAATCTGCCCATTCTCTGCCCCCTTTCTTATTAACAAGGTGTTTTTTGCCCAACAAGGTATTTTTCAAGCACCAACTGAACATTTTGACTATGTTTGCAAGCGATATGAAATAATTTAAAGCCACAAGATTTTCTGTTCACCTACTTTTGGAAAACTTGTACAGTTAGGTGCCACAGCCTACAACTGGTACCCATTATAGCCAAGACAAGCACCAACTGATGCTAAAGTATCAGCCCAATAGATAAGGTGATAGTTTCACTTTTGGGGTTAGCTATGGTAATTGTGTTAGACAAAACAAAACAATGAGGTATGTGTTAATGTTAAGAGTGGGAACAAATGTTAGGGTTACAAGAAGTGTGTTAGGGTTAGGTGAAAGGGGACCATGGGTAATGGGAACATTTAGGATTCATCTTGGCACCCTCTCATTGCCAAGTTTTAACTGCCTAAATATAACCTAAAGTGCACCCAAAATGCATGGGTGTACCTAATAACATGGTATGAAGAGATGGCAGTGCATTTACCTGTGTCAACAAGAACATGACACCCAATAAAAAAAAGTTCACATGTGTGTGTGTAAATTGGGTCTGAAAGAAGGGAAAAGCCCTACTTAATTATATGACAGAACTGCAAGATTTTAAACGTTTAACTTCTACGATATGTCTGTGAAGGTTCTCATTCATCCAGGTCATGGCATATCTGTAAAAAATAAGTCAAGGCAACTGGACATGCTGTATTTTTCTTGCAGACGTTTCACTGGTCATCCAACCAGTGTCTCAGAGCACACTTGTAGTAAAAAAAACATGAAGGCTGCCACTGCTGACCATGTTCTGAAAAAAAGCTAGCTGTCTGGATTTCAGTGACCCCGAATAAGTGTGAACCAAGAAAGTAAGAGTGAAGACAAAATATCTAGTGTGCATCTTGTTTTCGGTCAGTAACTCAAAGCATTGAAGCCATAATATTTCTATTTGGGAGTGTAGATTTGCTTCCCCCTCCTCCCCTATATTCGGAGGCTTATAGCAAATACCCACAATAAGTTTACGGCTAGGGTCCGCCATATCGAGCTCTAGCCATATGGTCTCCAGACTGGAAAAGATACTTACTGTGCACTGTCAAAATAGTCCATGCATTTCTTCTTTTTGTTATAAGCAGCAACACGGAATGGGACGATTTCAAGGGAGATCAGTCCAGGAGCCATAGTGAGGACTTTGGCCCCATGAGTAGGCTCATACAGATCTTTTCCGGTTTCTGGGTGTGGCATTCCTGCAGGATCTCTCCCCACTATGTAAAAATTAGCACCTGCCACCATCCGTGCTCTGCAGTGCCACTGTACCTAGAGTGGACAAAGGCTCTGGTCAGTCAAAGTGTTTATTTGTAATAATACGAAAAGAAACATTCTAACAATAATATATTTTACCAGCATAGTACAATCTTATGGCAGAACACATTACATAGTATTCAGAAAAGTTTATAGTACAGAGCAACAATATATAACAAACAGGAAACTAAAGTTAAGAAGGTCTTGCACGTTACATCTTACAATGTAACAAAGCTATACTCATTTAAAGCTAGCACACAGTAACATAAAGCTTACTCCACAGCCCCACCATCTTTCTCCCCACTGGTTACGGTCGTGTCCACCTGGTCCACTAAAGCTGCTCTTCAAGTCTGTCTCTGGCTGGCTTTGTTGCTGCCCCTCTCACTGATGTCATCACTCCCGCACTGCAATCAGTGCAGAACCAGCCGCCATGTCACTAGTAGGAGTGCATGCCCATATTTCAGTATTAAAGTGGGGTACCACACCACTAACTATCACAGGATCATGAGATAAGTTGAGTTTTTTAATGCAGGATCACACACTCTTCCAAAAACGGAGCAACAGATTCCTTATCAGCAAATATATTTTGATTAAGTTTAATGGGACTAGAGTAAGGTTTTACATTTTCTCAACTTTGTACTACCAACCCAGCCTTTGCAGTGTCTGAATGCCAACTGTACAAATGAAAATTATATAGAAAACGACTCCACCTCACTATAGTGCCATTAGTTCTATAATGGACACTGGGACAAAAAGTTTTTTTTGGTCATGCCTGTGGTATCTGGTGGTACTAGTGGTTGACACTATATTAAGTAAAGCTTAGTTGTTAGTATATTTTCTAACAACTAAGCTGTCATCTTTATCCTTGTTGTGTCTCACCTAGTGAGGGAACGTTTTACCCCAACATTTTTTTAACTATTTAGCAGTAGACAACACCAATAAATAGGACACAATTTGTACCACACCACCCAGGTGTATGACACACCTCTAGCAAGGTCTGTTTATACACGACATACACTGCTGCATTGTGGAGCTGAAATTGTTCATATTCTGCAACAACACACCCATGTTCATTATAGATTACAGATTAAGAGAGTAATCGTATATAACAAAGGAACCTGGAGAAGTAAAATTTGGGGAGGGGAGAAACAGATATTTTCAATATAAATGGATGTGAAGGAGTTAAAAGTCAGCTGTGAAGTTTCACACAAATGTAAAGTGTGTTTTGGGAGACAAATTTAGTAAGGGCTTTAAAAAGAATTTTTCTACAATTGTGAAATTGGCAGAAAACTTCCCTGATGCTTAGCACTTTAAAGCCTGTTGTCTCCAAATTGATGTTGGGTAGGAGAGATGTTTGGCCTCAGAGCCGATTCTTAATAGAAAACAATTTCTTTAAACTGCATAAACATTTTGCCCGATGTATTATTGCCAAAAGCCTTATCAGAGCAATAAAAATAAATCATGTTGGAAAGTTAATGCAAACGGTGCAGTATGTTCCATAATGTAAACCTCAGGAACTCCTGTCCTTTTGGCGGAGAACTAGCAGTCTGTAAAAATGGTACTTCTGTACAATGCAAAAGTAATAACATAAGACGTGCTAAAACCTGCACAGCTTAAAGCGGATGGGTGTCTGGCTAGTAGAAAGTGTGAGTGTACCAGCAGCAACTTTCAGCTGACCACATCAAATATAAGGATATGATTTTTTTTTACCCAGCATGCCCCTACTAAGTATCTGTGTGACTTCATAGTAAGGACAAAGCTAAAGGCATTCATCATTCTGCTAACAAAACAGAAAAATGCAGTTCAATCAGATGCAAATCAGTAAACCGGGAGAACAATACATTTGTCTTTACAAGGCACTAGTAAGAAAGGAAACTACAGAATCTACTGCAATGAACATACAGGCATGATCCAATCTCCCTCTGTTTCCACAAACATAACTAAGGGAGAGAATGGAAAAGACAGACAGTTCTAAAGTTGTCTTATCTCAGCGGAAACGACTGGACAAGCCTTTCAAACCAGTCCCATTGCATTCTTCCCTGAGAATGGTCAGCTCAGGTCAGGTCAGTCCGCAGATCTGGTGCTGCTGTTTATCAGCGTCTCTAGTCAGGGCTCCATTTACTAAAGCTGGCCATATATTTTGCAAATTTTGTTCAGTGGGTGGTCCTGTTGGCACCCTTTCATCTGGCCTCCTTCGATCAGAAAATCAAAGGAGCCAATTGGAAAATGTTTGGGTGAATAATTGGCTGCCGTCACCTGCACTGGCTGGACACCAGTTGCTGTCAGAATACAAAAGCGTAGCGGGAGATGGATGAACAGCGTGGATGGAGGAATCTGTTTTTTTTCATTCAAACTCCGACTAAACAGAAAAAAAATACAACAGTGTATGACCACCAGCTTAAGGGCCAACACTTTGAGGCCAACCTACTAAAGTTGGGAATCTTGACGTCACAAAATTGTGTGAATATTCACATCAATCCAGTCATGAAAAACCACATCTACACATAATTGGGTATGCAAAGTGATCAGGGATTTGCTTTTCACATGATTAGATAAATGTAAAATTCACACAATTTGCTTCAATCACAAGGTTCTTTTTCTTCTGTATTTTCCAGTGGACTAAATTTCTCTCTTAGAAAAGGTTTATTGAGCTATCATTTAAAATACATTAATATAGTGATTTCTTTAGTCAAAATAACCCAAAAATTGTTAAAGGTGCACTGCGTTAAAGCAACCCATTGAAAATAAAGGGCTGTCAACGTACCAAAACTTCCCAAAAATTGGATATCACAAAATCTGTAATGCCATGCACTATGCGCTGGGGTACCATTCCAGCAAAGCAGAAGAATGAACGGGCCCTAACATGGCATTAATCACAACAGTGCACAAGTAAACTGATGAAGAAGAAAATTATAAATAGTATAACCCAAATAAAATCATATGGTTAATAATCATTTCTTTTCTTTTTTTTAACAAAACAGTAAGTTAACTGAATAAATTTACTTTTTTAGTGCTGAGAGCTGATGATTTTTTTGTAGGAATCATCAACTCAGTGTATTAAAAGGGAATGTACTGTAGAGACAAATCTATATTTTTGCCACTTTATAGATTACTGGTTCGACCATATCTGGAGCATGTGGTCCATTTTTGGTCACCAATACACAAAGGATGTCCTGGAGCTGGAGAGAGTCCAGAGAAGGGCAACTAAACTAATTAAGGGGCTGGAAGACCAAAGCTATGAGACAAGGTTACTAAACTTAAACTTGTTCACGCTGGAGGTGCGGAGATTAAAGTGATATTAAACCCTCAGATTTTTTAACATAAAACAATACTGTAATGTGCGCCTTACTGTATTCCATGGTTGTTTCCCTTCTCTTTGCTGCTCTTTCTTTTAAATCCGTATATCTTCTCATGCTGGGCAGAACTTCTGTTTTGCAGCAGACTGCCTTGTCTCAGGAATGGATACATGGTGTCTGTGTGAAGGTTCACAACCTGAGCCAGCACTACAGGAAGAGGCACTCAGCTGCAAAGGGAAGTTCTCCCCCAGCATGAGCAGATATAAGGATTTAAAAGGAAGAGCAGCAAAGAGAAGGCAAACAACCATGGATTACAGTAAGGCACACATTACAGTATTGGTTTATGTTAAAAAATCTGAGGGTTTAATGTCACTTTAAGGGAGGACATAATATTGATGTATAAGATGTTCAATGGTGATAGCAACATCAGCAACAATGTTTTTAAAGTACACTCCACATCAAAGACTAGAGGCCACCACCTAAAGCTAGTGGAAAAAAGATTTAAGCACAAGAGCCGTTAGGGTCTGGAACTCTCTGTCACAAGCAGTGGTATCAGCTGAGAGTGTTGAATAATTCAAAATACATTTGGACAATTTCCTCAGAGACCGGAACATTTAGGGGTACAGGTACCCTTAAAAATAAGATCACGTGGGGACTGGTACACACGCATACACATGCAGAATCACAAACATACACACAATGGGTTAAACTTGATGGACCTGTGTCTTTATTCAACCTCAAATACTCTAACTATGTAACTCCCAAACATTGTTCACATTTATTCTACCAATGGCAATTAACCAGCCTGCCCTGAAAAAAAATACATCCCAGCTTTTGTGAACTGTTGGTGGGTAGAATAAAAGTAACCTATTACAACTCTTCAGGACTTCAGCAATGGCATCTCTGAAAATAGTTGTACCTGTTTTACTCATCTGCCCTTGATATTAATAGGGAATTTTACTCTCACAGCTAGATATTTATTGCTTTTTTACATGAAAAGTGGGATGAGTGACTTTCCTACAACAAATTGTAGCAAGAGGACTAAGATTCCATAGCTGCTGCTGGTATGGGAGCTGGCACAAACTGGACTCTTATATGAAGCATGTTAGTGACTTTGCCTACCATTGTTCATCCATTTACAAATTATGAATCCAGCACTGTGACACACAAGTGAGCTCACGAATAGTGTGGCCACATTACTTTCACTCTGTATGTCTAACATGACTATAATGTAAGTGGAGGAAGTACCTATTAGAGTTTACATTCACTCATACTTTTCCATTGGGGGGGGGGTCGAAATTGCAAAGCATCTGTAACCATAAAATGGTGGTTCCAATCGATTGCAAAGAGATGTAATGAAAAGTGCACCACTGAACAACTAAATTAGAATTAAAGTTTAGTTTCTAGTGATTACTTTCAATTTTATTTGTGATTCCCTATGGCTTAAAAGTGATTCAAACGGACTTAACATTGCCACACATACAGCCAAATTTACAGATCATTCACAGCCGCCTGCACCCATTGCACAGCAGCCTGCACTGTACTGTGTAGTGGTGGTGCGGTGCATATTGTCAAGGTTTACTTTTTCTTTTTAACTACTGAAGTGTTACAAAATTACATTTCATTCAAATATGCTGCTGTTTTGCGTTGCACCTTAACACAACGATATTTTGTGAACAGGAACATAGAAAACAATTGTTTTCTTTTTTTTTATCCTTGTGTTGAGCCTGCGTTGATCAATGCAGATCAATGAACATAGTGTGAAAGTGACCTTAGAGGTCAATTTAACACTGACATTTCCTGCTAGTCAACTGTCTCCTTTACACATTACCCAACAAGTCCTAAGAGTGCATATTAGGATCAAATAACTAAGCCCAGTGAAGGGCTTTGTTATCCGACATTATGTAAATTCATATGTTAGAAGACAGTTTGTAAGGTCATGGCAGTAAATAGGCAGCAACGGTGAGACTTCAGCTGACCTTTGACTACTACTACTGACACTGCAGCTAAATAAAGTCAGGCTCAGACAAAATAAGGCTAAACAAATGTTTTATAAGTATGCCTGTAAAATTATAATAAAGAAAATACCTAACCTCCTGCATAAGCCCAACAGTGAATAGTTTTCTTTAAGCTATCATATAGGAACATTTTTATTACTAGTCATCTATAAACATATTGTTACTATCACACTATAATTCATTGCACATTGCAATCTGCAGCAACAGAATAACATTTTGCTGTTAATTCAAGTTATACAAGCCGAGCTATAAAAAAAAGAAAAAAAAAAAAAGGCAATTTTCCAAATTGCTAATACGAACAAGAGATCACTATTCCTCTGCTGAAATATATGAGACATTAACACCACTATGCAACGATGGACACTTAATATATCACAGCACAAGTCTCTGATACAGACAAGACCTAAAACATACACTTTTAATCGTCAACCTTCACAATCGGCAGAAAATACATTGTGATAGATACTTAGGATAGTTTGGTACAGCCAAGGTTAACAGAAAGCTAGTCTGTAAATAATTTGCTTTTATAGAAAAATGGTATAATGTCTTCTCTACGACCCAGAGAAAATGATTAAAGGGAGGGATGGGTTTTATATTATTGTTATTATTTGGCACAAGAGGCCATGCTGGTGAGCCATTGTCTGAAGTCATTGGAAAAACAGCAAGCATTGAGGGATTTTGTTTTTCATTATTTTTCCCCAAAGATGACGCAGGGAAGTTAAGGATATGATTGTCTACAAAAACTCAAGAGAAATGTTTGCCTTTTACTTTGCACTTGACTCTACAGCACTCACTTGCATTAAGACAGACAAGACATGGAGGTTCCCACGAGTCTCTGTTAAATTTGAACTTGGTTTATACCCTCAAGGTATTGGCTACACCCCAGACACAGGACTATTATGTAGTGATATCATTCCCACTATCGAAGGTTGTTGTATCTTGGCCAGCCCTGAGCAATAAAAAGATGGCAAATTAAGGTTTGTACTCAGATGTCATGCTAGCCTTTTGAGTGAAAAAAACTAGAGGACTGTTAGCAGTTTTAAAAAATGATTTACAAACAGCACCATTATCATAACTCAAGAATACTTAGAAATATGTGCAATTGTCCCATTTTTAAAAACAAAATAACAGTTCAACAAAAATGACAGCACTTGGAACATCTAAAGTCTCCCTCTGGAAAGCAACCATACCAAGGTTATTATAATAAAAGGGAATGTATAGTGGCTTTATAAATAATTTATTTATTATGGTCAGGGATAAAAAATAAAAATTTTAAAAATGGCCAGGAAATGATAAAAGATTAAATATTAAAGTACAACTGGCCTCCCATGCTTAATTGAATGTTGTCACACCCACGTAGGCTGCATCTGCTTGCACTACAGTGAAATGAGATGTTGCAGGGGGCATAGCTATCAGCATTGCCACTGAAAAAATATCAAGCTTCTCAATCAGCAGCTGGCCACACTAAGACCTGCCCACTGCTTTCTGGATTGACAGCCCTCTCACAGCTGCAGTGTCTGGAGAGGGGGAGCATGTGAGATACAAATGAAGATTTGTCACGGAGGGCAAATGAAGTTTATTTTTTACTTTATGAGGCTTGTGCATTACACAGTAACTGCATTTAGATCCTATTTAAACCATCACACAGGAGCCTTTAGATGTGCTTTAATATATAGAAGCCTTCTATTCAGCCAGCAGCAGAGCTCTAATCTCCTTTCCACATATACACTGAGGCTCAGTAGATCGGGGAGGTGAGCGAACCCATACCGGCGTTCGCTCACCTCTCGATCCTGTCAGGGCTCTCTGCCGTGACATAGGAGGGGCTGGATTCCCCCCTCCCCGCTCCGATCCGCCAGCGCTGACTGGCGGAACGGACGGGGGAGGGGGCGGGTACAGCTGGCTCTGCCTCTAGATAGGCAGAGCCAGCTGTCACTCACACAGCTGGGTGGATCACGACAGTATTGTTGGGATCCGTCCTGGCTGCGACGCTGTCCGTATATCGCGGGCAATAGTCCGCTATATACTGAGATTTGGGTCATGGGAGGAGGTTAGTATAGGTCTTCCCGTGACCCTAAAGAGAACTATGGGGGAAAACACTTACCTCATAGTTCTCTTAACTCTACTTTTTCAACTACAAAAGGATTTTAATTTGCCATCTATGGAAAATTTAGGCATTGTATTTTTTGCCATTTCTCGAGTACAAAGAAAGTGGAGATTACATTGTGCTTCTGCTTACTAAAATCAAAATGAATGCATTTTTACAAAAAATATAGATCCAACAAACGTTTGTACAAATATTGTATAGCTAAAGTAATTGCAACTAACATGTTTTAAATTATACAGGTCAACTGTTTCCAGAAAATGGATATAGTTGGGGGGGTTTAAGAAAAATTTCAGGTCAAAAAATCTCAAATTTAGCATGTGTGTGAAAAATGGAAAAACTGTCTGAACAACAAAAGGGTTAGAGGAGACCGATTATATGCAATTCTTCATAATAAAGTAGAATTCCAAAATGCAGCAATCTATATTATTGGAAAGATAAACAAAGCCAGTCAGTTTTACTGACTGAGAAACAATGCTGCGTTCATACATAGTAATGCAATAACCTACAGTACACAGTGAGCCTCAGAGAAGTCTGAGTCCAGCACTTTAGTATGCACATGGAGCAGGATCTTTACAGAAAAGTTTCTCTCATCCAGATAAAATAAGATGCAACTACATGTGCTTGCAATCCAGATCACATTGCACAGACACTAGTCTTAGCAACATACTAACTGCTGCAGAGGAGTTCCTGAAACCCAGGGTTCAGAGTGCACAGGGATGGGCGAGCTATGCAAGCTAACTCATTCTTATCCAGATTAAACTGAATTTGTGGAAGTTGTGTGCATTAGATAGGACACAGTAGAACAAAAACAATAATAAGCGCACTACTCTGGTGGTACATGGAAATATATTTATAAGACTAACGGGGGGCGCGTGCAGCCTCCATGAACAGGGAAAGGAACCCCATTGAAAACGAACAAAGACAACCGGGAAAGGAAGCGCTACTACCCTAAGGTAGGACACAGCAGCAGTGACTGATACCTTGTCTAGTCCAGCTGGCGTGTCTAAGTATCAACTGGTCTTATGGAAGCCTGGGAATCATACAGAAAGCAAGCGTGCCTGCTGCAATGTCCTTCAATAAAAAATTCAGAGGCACACAGTTTGCCATCAAGGTCTATAGAAGTAGAAGCAGACAGCACAGGCAAAGGCGAGACTGGAGTACTGCTTTAAGTGTATGCATGCTAAGCAATATGTAAATATATTACAGGTATTTGACTCTCACAAGGATCACTGTACTCCCCCTGGCAATGACCATCTGCTTTTCTCTACAGGATGGCAATTTATTCGTTCAGCCATCATCTAGAATCAGTATCTACTTCCTCGACTGAGATGCTTACTAACAGAGGACAAAAATCCTGGTGCCTGCTGCAACCTTTCATCTTGCCACCTTTTACAAAGTTAAACAACATCAATAAGAGTATCAGGTATAAACGTAGGAAGGTGAAATAGCGCAGTGCGCAAGACAATGATAATACACATATGATGCAAATAAATCAATAAGTAAAATGAGGAGTCCCAAAAGGGAGAAACGACTTAGCGAGGGCACAGGCTCCTGTGGCACAGGATAGGGGAGGGGCAAAAACAATTAAAGTGACCTATATTGAAAGGTTAAGGAAACCATGGAAGGGAATAGTAAAAGTGCAGGAACAGAAAAAAGGAAGAAAAAAAAATAGGAGAGGAAACAAGGTTAGAATAAACACAGTGTAAAATAGGAAAAGGAAGAAAAATAGGAATAATACAAAAAATTACAACAGTCTGCATATTTCTTTCATGAGAAGACTGCTTCATCCATGAAAATGAAAGCAGCAGTTGTATGAAAATATTAGTATACGGTATTACAAAAAATAATCATAAAATGTAGAGAACAAGGGTGGTGTGCAAAGTGCAGTAACCCAAAACAAGTCTACATCATACATAGATAGGTAGGTAGCTTCTGGCCCGTAAGCTAGACTTTCCATCAGGACCCCTCTGTTGGGACATTACTTTAGATAATAAGAAAGTCTTGGTGAAGCTTCACTAGAAACATGGAAGGAATATAGATGGTGCCCTTTGTGAGACATTACCTCTGTTGGACCAGCATACATCATAGGAGATGGAAAGATGGCAACTATTGTGGTCTCTGGATCCAGCACATGCTCCTCAAGCACAGCAGCATGTTGTTTCATGCGCCACATTAAGGGAACATCATCATCCTTGGTCCAGCCTCCCAGTGGGTGAAGTAAGAGAACAGGGCGCCTGTAACCCCTTTCAAGTAACTGCTTGTGTGTGTCCTGCATCAGTAATGCATGTCCATTGTGAACAGGGTTTCGCAGCTGGAAGGCAAACACTGCATCTGAAATAGAAATATATATTCAGACAGATTAATAAACTAATTCATACATACAACATACTAAAGGGGAAAGTATAGTCTATGTTCAGGAAGTACATATATTTTGAGTTATTTTTGTGGTGTTTATGTGCCACATTATATAATTTTGTTGTGACCTTTTTGCACTAAGCCTTACTTTTATTATTGTTTACAGATATTTGAAAACTATCCACTAGTGGCAAGGCAGATTGAAAAAAGGGAGATGTTGATATAAACTATGGGCCACATAGAGTGCACTGGTTCATGCGACTCTGCTGACTCACAGAATTGCATTGTAAGGAGTAGAAAGAAGAGTATTTGTATAGCATTTCGGCCCCCTCGCCAGCATTATCACATACAATGCAGGACCCATGGTCCTGCACTGTAGGTGATGACAGTAAGGGGCTACCTACATTCCAAGTTGGGAGAGAAGACCACCAAAGCACCATCTTCACCTGCTGATCATGCCAGTAACAGACCTCCTGCCCCAGGGCAAAACTTACAGTATGGTTAGTATCTATGGAGGAGCAGCGTTCTCACCCAAAAACACAACTAAAAGAAAACTCCCTTCTCTTCTTAAGACAGGGAGGCGTTCTGCAGTTCAGAGATGGAGCTGGAAACAATGTAACTAATAAGCGTGTACCATACGCAGTAAGCACAGAAAGTTTTTAAATCACAAGATTTCTGGCAACATTAACCGTTTTTTAGCACTTACCAAACAGATATAAAATGCTTTCAATGGTACATTTAACAGACCAAAGGGGAGCAATTAGAGAACATTAATTTAACCGCAGCAAAAAATTAACTTACTGAATTGACCCTTTAGTTCATATGCTAATCAGAAGTCCATTACACTATTCTGCAGCAATCCAAATAAATTGTGGTAAACAGACACGAGTAACAAAGAGCAGAATAAAACATGGCAGCTGTCACTATGAAAGTTAATTCCACAAACTGGCCCTGTAGTGACCGCCACAGCCAACAAAGAGCTGTCTTAGTTGGAACTTACACCACAAAACAGAAATGACTAACATACTTAAGCCAAAGAGCTTCAGGCACTCCTGAGCAGGAAAATCCTCTTCATAGCTATAAAGCATCCAATTCTGCACCCTGGAGTATGCTCCTCACTATGCTGCAAAGTATTATTTAGTCATGCAACTGGGTGCCAAACTGCAATTCACTGAGAAAATAGGGTGGATTATTTACTCATGTGAAACACTTTGATATTTCATGGTTCTTGTCCAGAAGACATGAGAAAAGTATGTTTCTTTGCACTATAGTCTTGATTCAGGGCCAGCTTTGAAATATCACCAGTACAAATCGTTTTGTGATGATTTAGAGGTAATTGGAAAATTCAATACAATAAATATGTTTTATTTTGTTTGTTACTGCAAATTCCAAACATCATGCCAGATGGGCAATTACTATCCTCTTTGGCGAAAGGAAAAATAAAATCACAAAAAGGCACATGCCAATAATGTTTAATTCGGGTTTCTTCCATAGACATCAGATTTTTTTTTTAGGCCTCGTTCTGTCTGCCATCCTTATGGAGTGAGAATAACCAATGTCTATTCATGTACAGACTTACAGGCCTATTTAATAAACAGGTTTTTTCAAAGTGGTCCTAAAGTCAAAAGATAATTTTTGGTCCACACCCTCTCCATGATGCTGCTCCATGGAAAAGAGCAGTCATATACTGCAAATTCTCATCTTGGCATTGTGAGAAAGGTGCGAACCTTAAAGTAATATTAAACCTTTGGGTTTTTTTAATGGAGAAAGCCCACACTTGCATCATTTTGCAGCTCTTCTTCTTTAATTTGCTATTCTTGATGATCCTTCAGTAGTTTCCCAAACCGCACTCCTCTCTTGTTGCGAGTGACTCCATAAGCTAGCCGGGTGCTGAGGAGACACCTGTGCGCGCACGCTCCTGGGCTGTGACCGCGCCTGAGTGTTTGAGTCTTTAGACACACACAGCCTGCAGCACGCCACGCCCCTGATCCCTCCACCACTAAAGCCCGTGACACACTGCATGCAAAGCCGTGAGGCTCGGATGTTTGCAATGCAGTGTGCAAGCTGTGAGCGGCCAGATGAAAGACTGCATCTTAAGCCAATCGGCTCGCGCGTTACAACCGAATGGCCTTCACATCGTGATGCGAGGGGTTTATACGTGCGGGCTAATGGGCTGAAGAATACATTTTTCATCTCGGCACGTTCAGCTATGTGAGCTCTCGCAAACTGACGCGCCAGAGTGAAAATGACATGACACACTGCATGTGAAGGTCGGCGTACCACCGCTCTGCGCTGCTTTGCGTGCAGTGTGTCACAGGCTTAAGTCTGGCAGAAGGAGCCAATGGCTCCTCTGCCCTCAGTACCCTCCCCCACCACCAGGAAGTTGGGGAACAGGGAGATTTTCCCCGGCCCGGCAGAGGTGACAGGCATCCAGAGGCAAGTATTTGGTGGCAGGGTGACATGGAAAGGTGCTGGGTGTTTTTTAACCTGATGCAGAGAATGCATTAAAATAAAAAAACACCCAGCCCTTAGTAGTACTCCAAGTATTGACTGTTGACGTGCTTTAAAAAAACAAAAACGCATTTGTAATACCTTTCATCTCCACTTTTAAACATCAGCCTTACCTTTAACTATACCCTGTTATTAAAAGGGAAACTTTAATCATTTTAGGTTATTTTCTTTTTTTTTTTTAAATAAGTTTTTAAATTGATTTCTGTTCATTTAAAATGTATATAAATAAACCTTATTACAGATCAATATTTACCAAAGGGTGTACCCAAGACACAGGATGTACAGAGCATTATGGGTTTTCTAATGAGAGAGCACAACAGAAGCAGTCAGACTCTTTATATCTCTGGTTGAAATATAATTTGCCCTTTGAGAGGAGCAGGCAGGGAGGGGGATTGGTCACCCAAAAATATGGTAACACGTAAAAGCGTGAATAGAAGTCTAGAGCTCCACCACATTTCATACTTGCGCAAAGATTTTCTTCTCACAGTAAGGTAGTGTAGAATCAGTATATAGCTGTAGGCTCCCATAAAGAATGTCCTATTACTGCTAGTAATTACTGCTAGATTCTAGTGCTGAAAAAAAGCCACAAATTTCGGTGGCCTTCTGGTCACGTGATCCTCACAGAAACTTTGACCGTTTTAGAAGTGGCTGAAGCAGGAAATAGTACAGCCCACAATGGTGCAATATGGCTACTAAGTGAGGGATAGAATATTGGTTAAAGAAGTATTGGGGAGTAAAATGTACTCTTCCCAATACTTAGATTCAGTATGTAACACTGCAGGTGACACATGCGGGCTTTATAAAGCTGGTGATCACAAACTGCTGATCGCTGAGCTCACAGTCTTCTGCGTGACAGTCAGACATCAGACAGTGAAGGGGGAGGGCACAGCTGGCTATGACTCTAGAGAGGTAGAGGCAGCTGTCAATCAGGCAGCGGGGTGCAGCCCGACAATATTGCCAGGATCTTTCCCAGCTGTAGAGCGGCTCTGGAAAAGAGGCAAGGAATGAAACTTAACTTTGTAGCCTTTGGTTATGATACTCTGAGCCCAGACATTTGTAAAGTGAACATGCCCCTTTATAGCAAACAGGGTCTGCTCCCCATCTCATCAGGTTTGGAAATAAGGCCTTGCGATGGAACTGCACACCTTGATTAGGCTTGGAACCAAAAATCTTTGAAGAGCAAAAAAAACAAAAACATTTCTTGGAGCAGAAGACTTTGCTACCAGAGTATTGGAGGACTTCTTCTGAAATAAAAAGGTACTATTCTCCCCCCTACCCTTCCCATTACTGAAGACGTGGCTTGGATTCGCTACAGAACCTTTCCAACAGTACAGAACAAATTCAGTTGACTGTGACCATCTACTACTAGTTACAATAGAATATTCCGCTTTTGTATGTCTACTAAAACACAAGAAACACTTATTACAATCAGACCTTCTACTGGGTGGTATAAATACATACATTTTGTTTCACTTTATAGAATATAGTTATTAGACAAAAAAAGACATCTCTGGGAGACATGCCTCTTACTTTGTATCCATGGCAACAATCCCTTAAAACATAACACTTTTGTGAATTATTTCATGCTAGACCACAAAAAAATACTGCACAGTTCTTTTTATAAAAAAAAATGACACAAGTGCTTTCTGAAAAAATAATTGATCACATAAAGCTAAAAATGGCAACTTCAAAACAAAAAAACTGGATGCATTTTGTCTTAAATTTTCCCTTGGTAGCAGCAGAGCCTTGCAGAAAAACAATGATCTTCTACAATTTGTTACTCAAACTAAAGGGCAAACAGAGAGCGGGATAGTATTTTCAGGTTTATTTTACCACCTAGTACTCTTTTGCCCAACAGTCATGAGAGAAACACTGGTGCTAACCTACTTTTACAATATGATTTTTTACTGGCTGTTATACTGATTTCAATACTTAGAGACATTTACTGTACATATGTACGCAGACCTGAAAAGTCGGACAGAACTCTTAGTACTGAAGCCAGAAAAATCAGCATAATAGCCAAGCAACTAGCATTGTCAAAAACAGAATTTAGCAAATGGCTGCCTCCATGTTTCTCTCATGAAAGGGTCTTCATTGCAGTAACTCATAGCAACCAAGATCCATCAAGTAATTGTCTGATTACATTTTGAATGCTTGTAATTGTTCCTGTACTTAAATTGTATCTAAACCAAAAAAAGCATAAATGTCATATACTGCAACCCATCAGTACTTAGAGGTGTTGGTGGCCTCAGCTTCCAGATTGCAGGCTATTTTCCCTTTTATTTTCACCTGATAAATCATGCCAGTAAAACACTTCCCATCCTAGAGTGACAATGCTCACTCACTGCACTGTATCTATAAAGGGAGCAGTGTTGTCAACCTATGCTGTTCTCCTGATTTAGACTACAAACCTAATTTCCTCTCCATTACATAATGGGATGTTCTTTTGTAGTTTACAGAAGATT